ATCGGAGTTTCACCGGCACCGGAAAGTCGCCTCGGAGAAGACGGGAGATGGAGTCGCTGTTTTCCTAGAGAGAAGTCAGAGCGTTTGTAGAGAGAGAAGGGTTTTGGGTTTAGGGTTTAGGGTTACAATTTGGGGGTTAGAGGTTAGAGTTACAATTTCGAGGTTAAGGTTTTTATTTTTTTTATTTTTTTTATTTTTTTATTTTTTTTTTGCAAAGATAACTTTATTAATAAGAAAAAAGGCGTAAAGCCATTACAAGGTCCAGGAGAGTTAGGCCCTACATAGCCTAAACCCCCAAAAAACAACAAGTAAATAAAAATTACAAACGAAGGCCCCCGGGGCTATAACATGCGTGGCCCCAAGTCCTATGCTAGTCATATAGCTAACACTAGACCATAGGCTAGGATAAAATACTAATAAAAGCTACTAATAAAAGGTAGACTGCACAGCTGCTCGAAAGGATGTAAATGCAAATGTAGATCATCAGCGCCACAGCCCACCATATAACCGTGTAGATGGATGACAAGGGGAACAGCCACCTTGCTTGTCACGCGCCATAGCACCTCCCTGCCAGCTACACCATAGCGTCCCAGCACTATGATGCAATCCGACCGGGCTGCAACCACAACCGCAACATCTCCTGGGGTGCTATTGACTGCCCTGTTAAAAGCAACAATACACATGCTCCCGGCTAAATATAAAGTTTTTTACCCATACAGAAATATCGGCACATAGGCCTCAGTCAAACATGACTAATACAGAACGGATCACAGGCCTAAACTCCGACACACAGGCCAATGCAACATAAACGGCAGCCAATAGCATCAACCCCCGATCAGCACCAGCAACGAACCAGAACCAACCCTAACGGGATTAGTTACTATGGGCCAGCAGCAAGCCTGGACTACCGCAAACGGATTTGAAAAACCCCTACCCGGCCACCGTTCAGCCCGGGCCAGGGTGCAATTTCTTACCGCTTGCACCAACGTTGAGGCCTGGTCTATCTCAAAAGATACCTGCAAAGGCAAAACCAAAGAAGCCTATAGAATAGTCAAGTGTCTCGGAGGCCAAAGAAGCAACCTGCAGAAGATACGAACATGATAGAACAAAAACATCCTGCTCCCTTGACCCCAGGTATTTCCAACGTTGAGGTTAAGGTTTTGGTTTACAATTTAGGGGTTAGGGTTACAATTTAGGGATTAGGGTTACAATTTAAGAGTTAGGGATTAGGGTTACAATTTAGGAATTTCGGATTAGGGTTACAATTTAGGAATTAGGGATTAGGGTTACAATTTTGGGGATAGGATTTTGGGTTACAATTTAGGGGTTAGGGTTTAGGGTTACAATTTAGGGGTTAGGGGTTAGGTTTACAATTTAGGGATTTGGGTTACAATTTAAGGGTTAGAATTTTGGGTTACAATTTTGGGGTTGGGGTTTAAGGTTACAATTTAGGGGCTCGGATTACAATTTAGGGTTTAGGGTTACAAATTAAGGGTTAGGGCTTAGGGTTACAATTTAAGGTTTAGGATTACAATTTAGCGGTTAAGGTTACAATTTAGGGTAAGAGATTAGGGTTAGAATTTAAGGGTTAGGGTGATTAAGGGGTTAGGGTTTAGGGTTACAATTTAGGGGTTAGGGTTTCAATTAAGGGGTTAGAGTTTAGGATTACAATTTAGGAGTTTAGATTCAGGGTTACAATTTAGGGGTTAGGGTTTAGGGTTACAATTTAGGGGTTAGGGGTTAGGGGTTAGAGTTACAATTTCGAGGTTACGGTTTTGGGTTATAATTTAGGGGTTAGGTTTACAATTTAGGGATTAGGGTTACAATTTAAGAGTTAGGGATTAGGGTTACAATTTTGGAATTAGGGATTAAGGTTACAATTTAAGGGTTAGGATTTTGGGTTACAATTTAGGGGTTAGGGGTTAATGTTTAGGGGTTAGGTTTACAATTTAGGGATTAGGGTTACAATTTGGAGGTTAGGTTTTAAGGTTTAGGGGTTAGAGTTATAGTTTAGGGGTTACAATTTAGGAGTTAGGGTTTAAGGTTTAGGTAACAGTTTAAAGGTTTAGGGTTACAATTTAGGAGTTAGGGTTTTGGATTTAAGGTTAAAATTTAGGGGTTAGGGTTACAATTTAGGAGTTAGGGTTTTGGATTTAAGGTTAAAATTTAGGGGTTAGGGTTACAATTTAGGGTTTAGGGTAACAAATTAAGGGTTAGGGCTTAGGGTTACAATTTAAGGTTTAGGATTACAATTTAGGGGTTAAGGTTACAATTTAGGGTTAGAGATTAGAATTACAATTTAAGGATTAGGGTTTAGGGTTACAATTTCGGGTTTATGATTTATGGTTACAATTTAGGAGTTAGGGTTACAATTAAGGGGTTAGAGTTTAGGGTTACAATTTGGGAGTTAAGGTTTAAGGTTACAATTTAAGGGTTAGGGTTTTGTGTTACAATTTAGGGGCTCGAGTTACAATTTAGGGGTTAGGGTTAAGGGTTACAATTTAGGAGTTAGGGTTTAGGTTTACAATTTAGGTGTTAAGGTTACAATTTAGGGGTTAGTGTTTAGGGTTACAATTTAGGGGTTTAGATTCAGGGTTACAATTTAGGAACTATTAGTGTGCACACCCCCTAACCAGGATTACAAGCCCGGCGAGAAATTTCCAACCTCGTAACGTGGGAATACGACGCGTTTCATATACTGGGACTGCAATGTCAGGGTTACAATTTAAGGATTAGGGTTTAGGGTTACAATTTAGGGGTTAGGGGTTAGAGTTACAATTTCGAGGTTAGGGTTTTGGGTTATAATTTAGGGGTTAGGTTTACAATTTAGGGATTAGGGTTACAATTTAAGAGTTAGGGATTAGGGTAACAATTTAAGAGTTAGGGATTAGGGTTACAATTTTGGAATTAGGGATTAGGGTTACAATTTTTGAATTAGGAATTAGGGTTACAATTTGAGGGTTAGGATTTTGGGTTACAATTTAGGGGTTAGGGGTTAAGGGTTAGGTTTACAATTTAGGGATTAGGGTTACAATTTAGAGGTTAGGATTAGGTTTACAATTTAGGGATTAGGGTTAGAATTTAGGGGTTAAGGTTACAAATTAAGGGGTTAGTGTTTAGGGTTACAATTTAAGGGTTAGGGTTAGAATTTAGGGGCTCAGGTTACAATTTAGGAGTTAGGGTTTAGGGTTACAATTTAGGGGTTAAGATTCAAGGTTACAATTTAGGGTTTAGGGTTACAATTTAGGGGTTAGGGGTTAGGGTTTTATTTTTTTTTTTTTTTTTTTAAAGAACATTGGAACTTTATTTCACCACCAAAAGAGGCACACGGCCTTACAAGATACGCCATAAGCCCAAAAGTGACCTATGGCTCAAAGAGGCATGGGTCAAAGAGGCATAATTAAAGCCTTTTATACACAAGGACCATATGGTCTAAAACCAAGCAAGGACCAAAAATGGCCTAACCTACACAAGGGCCATAAAGGCCTAAATACACCAAAGGTAAAAACCTAACTACAAAGGGCCTAACCTACACAAGGGTTTAAGGTTACAATTTAGGAGTTAGGGGTTTGAGTTACAATTTAGGGGTTAGGGTTTAGGGTTACAATTTAGGGGTTAGGGTTACAATTTCGGGGTTAGGGTTTTGAGTTACAATTTAGGAGTTAGGGATTAGGGTTACAATTTAGGAGTTAGTATTAGGGTTACAATTTAGGGGTTAGGATTTTGGGTTACAATTTTGGGTTTGGGTTTAGGTTTACAATTTAGGGGTTAGGGTTTAGGATTACAATTTAGGGGTTAGGGTTAGGGTTTTGGGTTAGTGGTTAAGGTTTAGGGTTACAATTTAAGGCTTAGGGCTTAGGGCTTAGGGGTTAGGGTTACAATTTAGGGTTATAGTTTATGGGTTAGGATTTAGAGGTTACAGTTTAGGAGTTATGATTTAGGGTTACCATTTAGTGTTTGTGGCTACTCATTATTTGACCACAATGAAACATAATCACATCGGCAATGGTGTTTAAAGCCTAACAAACAAACTGCGTGCTTTAAGACACTTTAAACGAAGCACGGGTGAAATAATAATTGAAGAATATGAATATGTGTAATTTAAATTAACCAAAAAAAAAAACCACAAAATCATGCATAATAGGCATTTAATTCAGATCTAAAAGGCTCTAAGTCTAATTCTAAAAAATAGGTTTTTCTAAAGGCATAAAAAACAATAGGTATCATTCCAATTTAATAATAATATCTGTAATCAACTCATCAAAACATTGTCAATAAATAAAAATAATTCAATATAATCAACTCATCAGTCGATCAGCCAATAAAATAATAGATCAACAATTTAAGGCAATTTAAATTCCTTGTTACATACCTCTAATGCAATTTGCAGCTCTCTAGCCTCAATTTGAAATTCTTGTTTGAAAAATGCATTATCACCAAAAAAACAGAGGGAAGCTGTAGATAATAAACGTAAGTGGTTAGTGAAAAATCAAAATGCTATTTAACTTACAACTGAAATGCATAGTATTACATGGAATGATAAATGGTTTACTCATAAACCATTTACTAAAATTAATAAGGAAGTCTATTCTAACATGAGAGCTAATATAGAAAAGGTAAGGCATAATGTTCTCTACTTTTTTCTTAATTTTTTCCCAAGGAAAAGCAAAGACGTGACAATACTCCACCAAGGTCACGCCAACCTCCCTTAGGCCCGTGTTTTGGCGAACTTTTTAGCCCAACCCCACCATAGCAGGTTTGGTGGGCCCAACCCCGCCCATTTCGACAACCCTACGTATAAACTACTAATATTCAATCACAGTAACAATGAAATTCATTGAACTGTAGATCTCTCTGCAGTTACAACCCTTCACCTATGCATAATCATTTGAAAATGCTCCAATCAAACAGCTTTGAAGAATTGTATATGTCCCTGCAATCAAATGAACATTTCTCTACAAACATTTCAACATGTTTTTATGAGCACTTCGACATTTTTGTTAAACACAAACAAATATAGATTAATCAAAACAAAGTTTCACCAGATCCATAAACTCAAAATAATTTTACAAAATATACATCAGAGTTCCAAACGGAAATATCACCTCTCACAGCTCGTTGATAAATGACAGATGACTTGGAAAATCTCGGTTCTCAGTACTGAAGGAAACAACCCCAGCAAACCAATCTCACCGCTCAACATCAGTAATTGATTAATGACTTGGAAAACCTCAGTAACAATCTAGTACTGCGACAAAGTGAACCCAAAGGAATAAAACCATCAATTGCAATCTCTTATTTGAAGAAAAACGAAAACAAATATTAACTTTTAAATACTATATGCAATTCTCCTGCAAACGACTAAACTGTGCAACAGGCCGGTTGTAGAAATTCCCTCAGACCAAGCAATAAATGGTATTTTAGGATTATATTTCTGGGAATTCTGGAGCAGGGGCAGAAGACTTCAAGAGTGGCTGAAGGGCCTTCACAAAGATGCTCGTATTTGGACAGAACTCTGCCTCATACTGTACACACAATGCCGCAACAGCAGCCAGCTGAATACCAAAGATTACAAAAAAAAATATTGTTAGATATGATTGGAAACATTTTTTTATACTCATCCTAGTTTGTGAGAGAGCTTATATCTCATGTCCCACAGACAAGATGGCAAGAATCTTTAACTTCAATACCATTTAAAAGAACCTTGTAACTTGGTAAATATGTGAAACGTAAAAGACAATGGAAAAACTTCATTCTGGAAAAGAAATGGTAAACCATTACTCTGGTGCATGATAGCCATATCAGGAGCTTGATTTGAAAGGTTAAAATCTGCAATCTTTGCTTTAAATTCTTCAAACAGAAAGACATTGCCGGATCTGATATCCCGGTGTATTACAGGTGGTTGGCCCTTGAGTCAGGAACTCAGCATTTGAATCTTATTCAGATGAAACATCTAGCTTTTGCACAGCTACAGATTTACCATCATTTAGATTCGCGAAGTACACTCTTCCATAAGATCCTTCACCAATTAAAGCCTTTGATCCAAAATTTTCAGTTTGCTCTTTCAGTTCATCCAATTGCTTTTTGCACTTCAGTCTTGACCAGGAGTTGCTACCTTCGTGCCTTTTTCATACCCTGAAATATGGTATGGAGAGAGTAGATAAGGAAACAAATCTAACTGATCCATCAATAAAGAAGAATACTGAATACATCATTTAAAAGAAGTCAGGAACTTTTGAATTGTAACTAATTTCGAAAAATACAATCGCCTTGACAAAAGTCTTAGTAAAATGCAACAAAATGAGGTCCGAATTAGAATTGCGTACTTTGAAGTTTATTTGCACTAATACACTAATATGGTGTCTGAGTATACAGAGTAATAAGATTAAAAGACATAGTTTGAAGCTACTGATAAGTAACAAAAGAATACCAATTCATTTTTGGTTTTCCCACTTGTTTCAATTTTAACATGAGAAAGGTAACAAGTATAATGGATGCGAGTAAAGGAGCATGTGCCTAACAAAATCCCCACTAAAAAAAAGGAAATCAAGCATCTTTATCACGGTCCTTCAAGAGAAGTAAATTTTAATCAATGTATATATATATATATATATATATATATATATATATATGTATGTATATATATATATATATATATATATATATATATATATATATTCGACAAAAGGCATTCTTTTTAATAGTCAATGGTGATTGATGTACATCAGTTACAACAAAAAGTTTTCAAGTACTAAAGGCATTTAGAAGTTTAAGGATCAGAAAACAAGAACAAAAAATGGCCCATGGCTACCTGTGTTGCCACAATCACTGACTAGAAACTCTTACTCATGCTTGGATTGGAGAACAATGAACATTGCATTCGGGGTCCGTTCACAAGCAATTGCTATATTCTAAATAACAAAGTGAAAACGAAAGGAGAATTTGACAAGATTTATTTACCAGTTGCATAAATTTATCATCCATCACACTTCATGCCAACTAATTGTCACAGAGATCAAGCAAAAGATTCAAAAAAAAAAAAACAATTAATTTCAACTTTCAAGAATATCTTATAGATTTCTCAGTAGCCGGAGATTAATCTAGATTGTTTGACTAAATTTCACACATCCCGAACATCATAAATCCTCCATAATTAAATATGATGCCAAGATGCACATACATAGACAGTAAAAATATCTTAGATTTGGAGTGAGAGACTCCTTTAAGAAAGAAAAATAGTAAAATGCTAAATTCAAATCACTTCACAGAACAAATGTCGATAGAAAAGGTAAATACCTTACACATAAGACAACCTTGATCATAAGCACAGAATCCATCCATCTGCAGTTTGATTTCCTCATCTTTTTGGATATGATTATTATATTCATCCAACATCTATAGAGATATAATTTTAATGTCAGAAATTGTTGAATAACAGGAAATATCTTTTAGTGATTCATCTAACTCCCATCTTATCTTATGGAAACATAGCATAGATATATACAGGTAAACAATGACCCTTACACTATCCCTATTTAGAAGACTCTTAGACTCACAGAAACATATTCCAAGATATTTCTATAGAAACATAAATAGCAATATATATAGATATAAAATAATAGCAGTAAATGAAAATTCAGACCTTTTACCCAGATAATCAAATAACTAGAAGCATTAATAGCTTACCCAGTGGTTAGTACATGCACACTCATTTCGATTCCCATAGGGAGTTTTGTCCTGGCTTGGGATGATTGCTTAAAGGATTGATTTATCTCTTTTGATAGTTCAATATCCTGGACAATTACTTAGTATTAAATTCATGATCTAAGCTCATAAAGATTTCAGGAAAAAACACACACACACACACACATGACACACCAATGGAATTATTTCTAGTATCAGAAGATAAATTGCCTAATTCCAAACAGGTGCCATACAAATACTGCCAGGCTCTATAGAAAACAATACATTTCCCTCCAGCCACATGTTTATTATAGCATCCATAACTAATGGCAATGGACAGTGGTACTGGTTAAGTGAACAGAGGATCAGAATTTACAAGCTATTATTACTCATTTACTCTTATAAGTTTGTCCATTTGGGAAAACAAAAAACATGAGCAACGTGTTTGATACTTAGAGATCTATATGTGTTTGATACTTAGATATCCCTTCAAGTTTATTGGTAAACTGGCTACCACACTCCGTCTTTAACTGTGACAGTAATTTGAAAAATGTTGGTAAGGTAACAAATTCAAAGAATAAATAATGAAAATCAATTATTGAAAACCTTACCTTATAAATCATGGACTTCTCTGCATCAATTGAAGCACTTTTCCCCAACAATAACCTTTTTGCAAGATCTTTCTTGTAGAATGCTTCAAAAAAATCTTTACCCTACAAGAGAAATAAATAACATATATCAGCTTAACGGTGATGGAACTACATCCCAACACGCACTAAAATACCACGACGAATATGATAGATACAGCTCTTTGTACGAGTGTTTTCTCATACGGTCATACCTGTATAAAACGAAATAAAACCCAAGGCTTTGTCAAGTGTACCCTCCAACTCCTCTTCCGATGTACCCAGTACCCTTATTCCCGGCACGAAGTTTTTCATCCAGAAACTTAGCAATCAGCTCCACAGGGGCAATATTCTAGCAAGGAGGTTGAAATATTGTGTAAGCATCAATTGGAAATATATTATGTCAGAGTAATTGCATTCTATGCAATTTACTTCTCCAAAATAAAATTAAGTATTCTATTCAAGAAGGTTACTCAAGTTAGTACTAAAACTAATTTCTATTCAACTATGATGATAATCAGATTTTTTCCCTCTGACCCTTTTAGCAGTTTCTATCTATTCTCCACCATGTTTGAAACAATGTCAACTTGCATTCTTTCTTTCTTTCTTTCTTTCCATACTTGCCAATCTGTAGCAGTCTGCTTTTTGAAACCAATGCCAGAATGATCCCTTCTTAGTCCCTTAGACTTAGGATGGATCACCCCTTTCCAGATCTGGCAAGCAACCTGCAATACAGCCATAACAGAATGTAAAACAACATAGAATAACAATGCAGCCCCTCTTTTTTGGCAATATAATTCTAAACTTTCACATAAGAAAGGGCACAATGGCCTTACATTTAACCCCCTATGTTGTCTTGCCCAAGTGCTATGAACCATGTAACCACACATTACTTGCCAACAATTCAAACAAATAGATGACACCACTCTTAGCCGAAGGGACTAGTAATTGCAACCATTGTAGCCTTGGATTCAATTGAGCATGTTGACAAGGATATTCGAAACTCCCCAATCCTCCCTTTAACCGTGTAGGTCATGCTCCTCCTTTTCATCCTCAAGCCCTCATGATCCTCCCTCCATACATACAAATGGCTATGCCCATTAAAGACCAACACGTGATCCCTTGCCCCCACCCTTAGGCCAATAAGGATGGACACCCCCATGTAGAGCTCTACATTTTTCTAGGGGCACCCATTTTGTCCCCGACCTAAGCAATAGGCAATACCCTCAAGGCAAAAGAAAGTCCACCTGTCACTACAAAGTGGTTTTACGAAGGACCCTTTACGAGTTGCTTAGGGCATCCTTAATAGTGGAGATTTTGGTGTGGTTTTTAATGAGTTTTTATAGGTGTTATTAAAAAAGAGAGAATGAGATGAAATAAAAAAATTGAGAAAAAAAAAAAAAACAAAGCAAGAGATGAAATTAAAAAAAAAAAAAAAAGTCAAAGCTTTAATTAACCACACAACAAAAAATAATATATATGCATTTCTTTAATTTATAATTATGTGCCTACAATGCCTTTATTCAAAAAAAAAAATTTATTCATTATCAATAAATTAAATAAGAGAAATAATTGCATTAGTTATATTATCTTTATTTTTCTTCAATATAAAAATTCTTTACATTCAAATTCATCAATTGATTACATTGTCCCTACAATGTCTTTATTCAAAAAAAAAAATATTCATTATCAAAAAATTAATTAAGAGAAATAATTTCATTAGTTATATTGTCTTTATTTTTCTCCAATGTAAAAATTCTTTATATTCAAATTTATCAATTGATTATATTCACTACATTGTCTATTATCTTTTTGTGCAATATTTTTTAATTAAATATCAAAGTTATAATAAAAAATAATGTTATATATTTATTTACCAAGTATTTTATTAATACCATCAACATAATAATAATAATAATAATAATAATAATAATAATAATAATAATAATAAAAAAGTCAATCATATTAACTACTTGAGGATTTGTTAACAAATGGAGCATTCAAATCACACAACAAATTGAGGTGGGAAATTACCTCGCAATGTCTTTATTTGAGAATCAGCAGTTAGCGGTTATCGTTAGCGGATTTGACCAGCGAATTATATCAACGGGTGGTAAAAAGATATTTGGAAGTAGTAGTAGTAATAGTAGTAGTATGTATGAGCTTCTCATATATAATCTTGCATTACTTATTTAATTATAAACATTGGGCATTAACTCATTCGCGCAATGCGCGTATAAAACTAATGTATATATATTATTATATATATACTAATAAGAGCCAAAAGAAGTTAGGCCTATAATGGGTAGAAAAAATGACGGTCAAATTATTAAACGAAATGAATGGTTCAGATTGCTCAGATTTTAATTTTTCTTTAGATTTTAAAATCTATCCTTAATTATATGTTCTTCTCTTAAATACCCACACACCGTTAACTTTTCCGTTAAAAATTATATTATCTATTAACTTACTCATTGATTTCAATAAGAAAGGTCTTAGTTTCGAACATCATTCTAATCAAAGTTGGCATAAGTAAGTTCCTCACTCTATTATACTATTATTAAATTAAATAAATTAAATAAATTAGTAGCTACGACAACAAAAAATGATACATATGTATTTCTTTAATTTAAAATTATGTGTCTACAATGTATTTATTGAAAAAAAAAAAAGAGTTAATTCCACCATAGGTCCCTTGCCTTTTGTGGGAATTCCAAATTTAGTCGTCGCACACTATCATTTTTGTCATTTAACATCTCAGACTATTATTTTGTGGACAATTTTAGTCATTTTTATGACTTTTCCTATTTTTAGTAAGGATATTTTTGTCTGTTATACTTTTTTGTTATTTTTTCGATTTCAACCGGTTTAATTGGCTTAAAACTTTAGGTAACCTCTGATTTTTAGTAATCATATTTTTCAACTGATTTTTAGTAAAGTCATAAACCAATTAAACTGATCCTAGTTTTCCACGGATTTATGTCTTTTGCACCTAATGTTCTTCTACGCGTCTTGGGGGGGGGGGGGGGGGGGCGGGGGGGGGGGGGGGTCAGTCCGTATACTCTATTCCTTGGGGACATCTACTCTTGTTGGGGCATTTTCACCAGGAGTATGGAATGTAGTCACTCTTCTTAAATCAGTAAATGCATATGTTAGGTTATTTGCTAAATTTTGCAAATTAATTATCTTCTAAGCTTCCAGTTCAGCCTGGCTAGTGCGAGGGTCTAGGTATTGAAGATATTTTTCATCCCATAATATTTCTCAGTATAGTATTTCATTAAATGTGGGCTCTTATCTCCCCTTAATACTAGAAAATGGTCTTCATCGAAGATGCAATCTGCGTATCTCGCAGTAAATTGGTCCCTGGTCATGGACTCTAGGTATTTAATGATAAAGGGAGATTCATAACCAATATAAATACCTAGCTTTCGTTGTGGGTCCATAAAAGTACGACATGTATGTGGTATAGGGACATTAATTGCAGAACCAAAATACACATATGTGGGAAATGTTTGGTTCCGTCTCTCGTACTAGTGATTTGTATACAAAGATTTGTGATTCATATCAAATATGTAAATTTGAAATTTATTTCTAATTGATGAGTAATTTAGTACATTTGTATACAATGCTTGTTAACTTGTGATATTACTTACAGTGTGTCATGTGAGTTAATAAATATTTAAATTGATTAATTTTAAAAACTATTTTAAAGTAAAATTTATTTTATTAAATAAATATCATAAATATTTAGTCAAAATAGCATTAACTTCACAATTCAGTTAGTGGAATATAATTTTGATAATTAATGATGGTTTATTTATTGAATATGTAGTAGTTACGTTAATAAATACTTACATTTATTGAACTGATCTGATATGAATCAATAGCTGAGATTACGACCTTGTTTGATTAATGGCGGATCCGTCAAATTTTTGGCAGATCCACCATTTTGACGTTTTAACGGAAGTCAAAACGCCAAAAACCATGTTTGGTTATCAGCAGTTTGGAGCAGCGATTTGGTCCAAACCGCTGAAATCCCAAACGCTGCTCTGGCATTTTGGGGAAGGAATCCTTCCCCAAAACACCCTCCATTTTACATTTTTTATAAAAAAAAATAAAAATAAATATAAATATTAAACTCATACGTAAGAAGCCGAAGGCTTACGTAAGAAGCCGAAGGCTTACGTAAGAAGCCGAAGGCTTCTTTAAATAAAGAAGCCTCAGGCTTCTCTTCTCTTGCCCATCCGATGTGGGATGGGCAAGAGAAATTAATTGGCGTTGAGCTCCCTTTTATAAGGGAGCTCAACGCCATTAATTTTATAAAACTTTCGATGTGGGATTTTTATCCCACATCATTTTTGTTTTTTTTTTAATTTTATTATTATTATTATTATTATTATTATTTCAAAAATTATTATTATTATTATTATTATTACTAGTATTTTCACCCGTGCGATGCACGGAATAGAATTGTTGTAATATATTAAGAATATTTAAATCGATATATAATTATTTAAGAGTTAATTTCACCAAAGGTCGTTTATCTTTCCTGACAATTTCAAATTTAATCCTAGACTATAGTTATTAATTATTACAATTTATTCTATGTTACAACTCTTACGTTAATATTCTTACTATTATTATTAACACTTAATTACTTTTAGATATTATTATTACCACTTATATTATTATTATTATTATTATTATTATATTATTATTATTATTAGTTTCTTTTCAAGTACTGTTAGTATATAATGGTCGTGAGGCACAATAATAATATAACCATAATTAAATATTCTTGTATTGTATTCCGGAGTTAATGCCATTTTTGGTCCTAGACTTATTGAGGCATTGACACTTTTCATCCTCCATAATAAAAATTGCCACTTAGTAGACACTGCTATTGGTCAATGGACAGTTTTGATCCTCCGTCAATGAAGTCGTTTGTTGACCGTGAATTAGAAGGGCTTTTCTGTCTTTTTATGTCTTATTCTTCTAATCCTGTTTAGACCAGCGCTGCTATGACTCCTGTGAGGCGAGATGGCGAGACTTGGCGGCTAAGTAGTAACCGTCGGTAGTGAGTAGCAGCGAGGTTCTTCTCCGGCGAGTTGTGGGTACGGCGGCGAGCATATGAGGCAGTAACTCCTTCCGGCGACGGACCAGTAAGGCAGATCTGGTGGTGCAGCAACAGATCCGGCGAGGTTGGGGCCTTCACCGGTGGTTTTTGGTTCCGGCGAAACAGAGAGGGCAGCAGGTCGGCGAACCCTCCTATGGTAAATAGCAGTTGTAGTTGTAGATGACGTGATGTAGAATTTGCACCTGTAAGTCCTCCCTTCCATATTGACCACAAATATCTTTCCCATCTCTCTCTCTCTCTCTCTCTCTCTGACCACAACTACTTGGTGCACAACCTCAAAAACTCTGTTATTCTACCTGAAATTCATTGAAGTTTCAAGCTGAAAATGTGGAATCCGCCGCTCCCCAAAAATCGCATTGTCTGAGGTGTTGGAATGGCCGGTGTTGACTTCCTGGCTGCTGTAGCTTCATTCCCCAACCCGGATGATAAAATTCGGAGCACCAGCTTTGAGGTTCAAGGAGGTGGTAACACTGGCAACCCGGATGATAAAATTCGTCTTGGTCTTAATCCAAGGATCATATCTAAGGTTGCTGATGACTTGCATGACGAAAGAATACTTGATGAGCTTGAAAGGGATGGTGTTGATACATCTTTTATGGTGGTGTCCAAAGGAGGAAACTCACCATTCATATATGTCATTGTTGACAACCAAAAAAAAAAAAAAAAAACTCGCACGTGCATTTTCACTCCAGGATATCCACCCATGATATCTGAGGGTCTACATACCCAAATCAAAATTGTCTTCAGCGCTTGGAGTAAATATTGTCTACTTAGATGGAAGGCTGCATGAGACTGCTTTGATTGTAGTGCAGGAGGCAAAGAATAGGGGCATACCTATTATAGTTGATGCAGAAAGGTTAAGGGAGGGGTTGGGTGATATTCCTGACTTTGCTAGTTTTGTTGTATGCTCGACAAAATTTCCACAGGCATGGACTAACGCCCTTTCTATTCCAACTGCACTTGTTTCCATTATCTTGAGATTGATGTCAAATGTAAAATTCGTGATTGTTAGTTGGGTGAAGATGGTTTCTTAATGTTAGAAAGGACTAAAGCGGATAACCTCAGTTTGAAGAAATGGATGTGGCAATGACCAATGGATGGAGAAATACAAGGATTAAAACATA